ATTCCCCTTGTGTACAAATTGTTGGTCACATCATAAGCAAGTTCTGCAACAATAGTGCGTGCCTGCATCATAATCAGCAAATCATAGAAGAATTTTCAAATGGTATCAATGATCAAACCTAGTTGTAACTCCGGAGTGGACTATCACATTGCTGCCCTGTTTTAAGTGTGTTCCATGCATGTATATGGGCACAAACTTGTTTGCAGACATAACATATTTCACCTTTAAATTGAAGCTTTGATTATGGTTTGCCCCTCACTCCTATACTTTCCTGTCTAGGCTGTGAAAGGCTGCATATGGCTGTTTGAACAAGAGCAGGCATTAGGCTTCAGCAGTGTCTCAACAAACATTCGGATGACAGTTATCAAACTAAAATCGGGAGGATTATGGGTCCATGCTCCCATTGCTCCTACAAAAGAGTGCATCCAGGTTCAGTTTTGTTCTCTCACTCAAAATATTTAAATATAATTTACCAACATAGCTTTTTTTAATCTCTTAAATGACTTCAATGTTGTATTTTCTTAGATTTATTAAAAGAGCTATCTGAAGGTTTCAACACAGCTCTTATTTTTCGTTTTATGGTTCCATGCTTGCTTTTTCATGGTTGTTAAGAGCATTTGTTTTTGAGTTTCTCTGATTGAATACAGCTAGTCAAGTTTTGAAGGAAGACCAAAGTGTTTTTTCCATGCATACATTGAAAAGAGTAGGAAAAAGAATCAATACTGTAACTATTCAGTCCAAGAGCTTGAAAGAAATTTTAAAATGTAGATCAAGTATCCATCAACTGTCTGTCAATTCAAGTGGCTCATGAGAATCATCAATCAAAAAGGAGTCTGTTCTCCCTAGTCCCTATTTTCCCTTTCGTTTTATAGTACCATTCTCTTCCCTGTCTACTCTTTCTTGGGTTTGTATATTTTTTTCTCAAGTTCTCCTGCAAATCCTGCATATTCTACACTTTAATGAATTTGGGATGCCTTATTTACGAGTGATCTACATGTTTCTTTCCAGCTTTTGAAGGAACTGGGGGCCCCAGTAGAATACATTGTCCTGCCCACATTTGCTTATGAGCATAAAATTTTTGTTGGTCCATTTTCTAGGAAGTTTCCTCAGGCTCAGGTGTGGGTGGCACCAAGGCAGTGGAGTTGGCCCTTGAATTTGCCGCTTGAGTTTTTTGGAATTTTTCGTTCTAAAACCTTGAAAGATGGAGACTTATCAACCCCATGGGCTGATGAGATTGAACAAAAAGTTTTAAGCTCGCCAGAAGTTGGTAAATAAATTGCTCTTGAACTACATCTAACTTCAATATGATGTACAGCATGTTGAGAACTCCATTTTCCTTGAATGTTTCAGGAATTGGACCATATGTTGAGGTTGCTTTCTATCACAAGCGTTCAAGAACCCTTCTGGTTACAGATGCTGTGATTTTTGTCCCAAGAAAACCACCAGAATGTATTAGCAAAGAGTCCCTTTTGGCATCAGCAAAAAATGGGTTGGCAGTGAAAATCCTTAGTAAAGGAAAAGAAGTCCCAGACGAACCAGTTGTTGACAACAACATGAACCGTCAAAAAGGTTAGTTCTCCAATCAATTCCATTCCAGGGCTGATAATTTTTTGTTTGAAAGAATTAAGAACTGGTGCTGTACAAGTAATTCTCGGTGCAGGGTGGGAGAGAATGGTTCTACAGATACTGTTCCTTGGTCCATCAAATCTGTTGGAACCTAATGCTAGTTTTGCTCAGATGTCCCAAAAGCTGATTGTTTCTCCTATTGTAAAAACATTGGTCTTCAGCAAAGTTCCTGAGAAGGTGAAAAATATTTGGTCGTAACTTTTCTTATGTGGCTCTTTTACTTTTGTGGCAGCTCAATAAAGTGGTTCATTGATTGATTGAATCTGAAAACAACTGAATGCCTTTGTCTGCTTGATGTCATTTAATTCTGGCAGTAACTGCAAGACTGATTCAAAGAGGCATGTGTAATGGAGATTTGCTGTGTACACAGTTACAAGAAACTGTCTGATTTGGATGAAAGTCTAACCGTGCATCTTCTGTTCTTCTCAAAATAACAGGTTCGGGATTGGATTGGTGACATTGCAAGAGACTGGAAATTCAGGAGGATAATCCCAGCTCATTTTGCAGCTCCAATCAACGCGGGAAGATCAGAATTTTTAGCTGCATTTGCATTTCTTGATGACCACTTGGGTGAGCGTTATGTTACCCGGCCTTCACTCTCCCTTCTCTTCACATCACTCATGGGAAAGGCAGCCAGCTACTTCCCACCTGATGACATGAGGACCTTATCATCCCTTGATGAATTCCTAGTCTCGGTTGGAGTTGTGAAGAAAACAGTCTCTGGCCGGAAACGATAAATATTGCTCATGGATTTTACTTTCACTACTCACTTAGGATACAGCAGAGCGTTCAACCTTATGATCTATTTATCTTTTCAAAGGGAAATATATGGCTTGGATAATCCCTTCTCTTTCTATAATAGAAAAGTCTTTTACAGTCGGGGCTGTGAAATGAAATGTGAAAAAATATACATTTAAAGTAAGTGCATTCTTTCCTCATTCCATCTGAAAGAAAACCACTCTCTAATTCTGGCCCTTCTGGTATGCCACAGGTTTTTAACTTCACAATGAAGCAAGGAATAAAAGCCTCAGGAATCCTATATGGGGTATGCAAAGGGGCCATCTGGCCATGATATCAATTACATGGATTATATTATCATCATACCAAACCACCCAAAAGAAGCAGGGATATTCTTGGCTTCAATTATATGCATGCCAAGAAATCAGATGCTGGACAACAAGAAAGCAAGGGAAAACAGAGAATTTTTATAATTCTTTCCTTAGGTCTGTGGGTATAGTTTTTCAGTTAGATGGGCAAGAGTTACTTTCTGGTAACCCGTTAAACCCACGTAATTACCCTCCAGACCTACCCCCTTGATTATCTGGGTCGCAGATTAAACGTCTTAAGCAACTCTTGAGTATGGTTTCATCATGCATCTGGGGTCCAAAGAAGAAAAGTATTAAGGCAAGGGGCAAAAGCAAGTGAGATCTTGTTTCACTAATTCAAGTAATTAACTTAATGAACTATATATAGAAAATCATTACCTATGGACACATTTCTAACCAATAAAATGGGTTTCAGAAAGGAATGGCGAAAGTGATTTTCATAGACATTGTGAACCTACTTTTTGGTTGGAGGGTCAACCTCCCCAACTAAAGCTACCAAATATGGAGACAATGAGTACTACCCTGTTTGTGGCCCAAGTAACTTTTACATGTTGGCTTTTTTTATTCGATAATTGCATTAAAAAGAAAAAAAGTGTTGGATCTTAAGAATGGGGCATGAGGGAAGCGAGAATCCAATGTGATATTAGATTTTCTTTCCATTTTTTTTCTTGTTTTCAGTTGTCTTTTTCTTTCTTTTCTGCAAGTTTATCAGCTTGGGGTTCCAATGTGGTCTTAACTTTGTAAAAAGCTTAAAGGGTGTGCATCCACACATTGATGCAATGCAATTGCTGCCATCTTTATCCATCCTAGAAATGATTATTAAATGGTCCCAACACAACGTTGTCCCATAGAGAAGAAGTTGACACATGTTTTTTTCTTGGAAAAAGCCAACAGAGTTCACCCTGCAAGTTTCGTGAGATGCCATGAAGGAAATTATTATGAGCCCTCTTTTTCTTTGAATGTTGCCATGGAGTCAAGTACTAGCCCACGCTTGCCCTCCACACAAAAAGTATGAAAAGTATTTCTCCTTGGTTTTAACGTCACAGCACAAATTCTTTGGATTAAATATAAATTATTTGAAAGTGAACTTGTTTTATAATTTAAATTATATTAAAATATAAAATAATTATTTTTAAATAAAAATTTTATCTTAATATTAAAATTTTTTTATTTAAAATTTATATTTTATAATATAATACAACATAAATTATAAAATAAAAATCTTTTTTAACAAAAACTTACACATGATCATACTTTATCTTGAAATCAAATGTAGCTTAACTTTTACCAAGTTTTCATTCACACTTTTGGAAGAGATAAATATGATGTAGAGCACATAGGTTATTCAGAAAATGATAAAAATTAATGATGAAAAAGCAAATTAAAGTTTAATTGAAGTCATGAATTCAAATATAAATTAAAACCTTAAATGGGTTACGTCTTGCCGACAAATGATAACAATACTAGTCATAGAATGTATAATTTAGTGAGATATGAATTCTGGTTTGATGAAGAAATGATGAGCTCTCTAGTATTTTATTTATATAATAAAGCATTGATGAAATTAAGTGCCTTTTAAATATAAATAAAACAAGACTTGTTTATTTTAAATTAATTAATACAAAATTGATACCAATAATTTGTTGATCCGAATAAAAATAGTTTCATTTTTCTTAAGTATGATGTTAAATTCGAATTTTATAAATAAAAAAATAGACTTTGAAAAACTTCTCTCTTAGAATGTTTGATGTTATTCGACTCTAAATTAACTAAGATTTAAATATAATTATTAAATATTAAAAAATTAATAAAAAAAAATTAATACCGAATTGACACACTCGTTATGTTATTAGTTTAGCATGCTAATTCATCATATGATATTATAGTATGAACGATAATGACACAACAAATATCCCGCTGCAGATAATAAAAGGGAAAACGGAATCTAGGATCTAATGCTTATTAAATTAATTAAAATAATAAGAATCAGATCTTAAGCAAGATTTACAATCCAAAAAAAAAAAAAAATCTTAAGCTAGATTTTAAATTTCCATGTATTTTATTGTAGTTACAAAAAACACATCGTGTACCAGCCTTCCTAGTTCCATATATGTGTATATATATA